TTAATATTTCATTTATGCACAGTTGTCACTCAGTTTCAAGGGAAGAAATGCAGTGCATTTTCTTTAAAAACAAAGTTTTTAATTGTTTTTTGTTTTAGGTAAACTGAAATCATATGCTCCTGGTAAAACGTAGACTGTTTGCCCATGGTACTCAAGTGATTTTGATTGCTTTGTATCGTTTTTGAATTATCTTTTCAGAAAAGATGTAAGACCTACGCGAAGCAAACTCGACAAGGCCGACCTCTGAATTACAAAGACAGTTGAGCCATTTTCAACCACGTGAAGAAAATTTCCAGAGGCAGTTAAGAGATGAGCAGCAACGAGAAGAGAATTTACAAAGACAGTTCAGAGAGCTTCAGGAACGGGAACAGAGCGCTCAAAGGCAGCTTACGGAGTCGTGGCAGCGTGAACAAAATTTGTAGCGGCAAATCAGAGAGCTTCAGGAACGGGAACAAAGCTCTCAAAGGCAACTTACGGAGTCGAGGCAAAGTGAACAAAAACTGCAGCGACAACTCAGAGAGGTTCAAGAACAGGAACAAAATCATCTCAAAGGCAGCTAACGGAGTTTCAGCAACGTGAAGAAAATTCACAGAGGCAATTAAGGGAGACAAGACAGCAGTTGAGAAATTGCCGAGGACAAGTTTCTGAACTACAGTTAAGTCTTTCAACAACTCAGCAAACAATAAGTGAATTGCACAGCCAAGAAGCACGTGACTGGGTTATTCTCCGGGACGAAATCAAAATCACAGACAAATGCCTTGGGAGGGGAGGATGGGGAATTGTCAATGAGGGAACGTATTGTGGCTGTTCTGTAGCAGTGAAACAAATCCATGAGTTGATTCTTTCTCCTCATAACATAAATCTGTTTGAAAGAGAAATGAATATCGCTTCTAAATGCCACCATCCTCACTAACTACAGTTTATCGGCGCCACCAATGATGAGGGAAACCCTCTGTTTGCGACCAAGCTGATGGAGAAAAGTCTGCGCACTTTGTTGGAGCAGCGGCAACTCTCCGAGAAAGAAATAGCCGTCATTTCTCTGGATGTAGCACTTGCTCTAAACTACCTTCATCAGAAGAAACCAGAGCCTATCATTCATCGTGACATCAGCAGTGCGAATGTGTTGCTATGGCGACAGGGTGACCAATGGAGAGGCAAAGTGTCAGATTATGGCACTGCTAATTTCATGCAGTAGACCATGACAGTGGCTCCTGGAGAAAGGATTTACAGCGCACCTGAAGCTCTTAAATCAAACCAAACCGTCAAGGTAAGTTTTAGTCACTGTTCAAGACTGTTAACATTCGCATAATTATTAATAAGTTGCCCTTACCCAAACGTCTTTCCATACATCGTATCGGTCGTGGTTTTCTCTTTCCATTGTTATCGTCGGGGCTTACGGAAGAAGCAGCCGCGTGAGTTTTTTGGCTTTATAATGGCACTGTGTAAAGTTATGTTTTGTTGTTGTTTTTTTTTTTTTATGCGGAGTAGAAAACTGTGTCTGTTTAGCCTCTTGAGTTATGCAACGGACAATTTTATTGCAAAGGGTCCTGTTCAATTTCTCGTTTTATAGCGGAGTTCTCGCGCGTGTAGCGGAGCACCATGGGTAAGAAAATGTGGTAAACTACCCATCCGAGAAAATTTGGTAATTACGTGACCGTACACCGACCGTCCGTCCGTACCGCAGGTATACCAATGTAAAATGACTCAATAAACAGGTATGGCAACCCAAATGCAACTCGAGGTTATTTTGACGGGAAATCGCATAGCCCCACGTCCTTGTAAAGCAGAGACAACTAAGGAGTCGAAAAGCGGAAATTGTCTCTTATCCGTATTTTCTAAAGTATTAAGCTCAGAATAATTGTCATGTCCACAAATTTGGAATATAGAGCAAGAGAAAGACAGAGAAAAAGAGTTTCACGTTGTGGTCGTAGAAAAAAAGTCTGCTGCGCGTGCAAAGTTGCCTTTTTGCTAATGAGACCTATTGTTGTCTTTCACCGTTCTCTTCGCCGCTAGCATTACCAGATTTTATATTTTGTTTAAACAAACTATAAATATGATCGAGAGCTGCGCTCTTAGTCCTGGCTAATTCTATATATTTTAAAAATTTAACAGGTTGCTTGTCGGACACATGAAATGATCAGACAAATGATCAAATGATCAAATTAATTGTATATGGCTGACTGTGGTAAGGCAAATCCTGTGTTCTGATTGGACTTGTCTTTCCCGACCGGACGTTCTCCTACAACCTTTTCTTTTTGGCCATGTAATAAATCGTTTATTGACCAAGCTTGTTCGGTCAAGGTGGCAGGATATGCAGTGGCAGATCCAGATCTGAGGGGGGGGGTCCAAAAACAAATTTTCCGGCCGTTCGGGCCTCATTTTGCTCTAAACATAAGGGGCGCGGGATGGGGGGCGGGCCTCCCGGGCCCCTTTCCTGGATGATATGGGCCTAGTTCTTTTTGCGTTGTTATACATATCGACTTTATCTCGCTCCATAAAAACGCGACGACAAACGTGACCTATATGCTGTAGTCTTGACCAGTCAAGATTGGTTAATAAAACAGACTTAAACATTTATCGGTCGGAGCAGAACCATAATGAATTTAATTATACACAATAGCAAAAAAATTAGAGCAGAGCTGATACGGTCCAGCCATAACAAACAAAAACATAAAGGTATAAAGACTATAAAAACTTTCATAAATTCTCGCAAGAATGTCGGTAAGGGACTGTGCAATAATTATCAGGAAGGGGGGGTCCTAAAATGAGCTTCACCAAAGGAAAAACTAGATAGGTCCCCACCTCCAGTAGCGTCAAGATTAGCTCTGACCCCCCCTCACGTTCTCTCAAAATTATGATGTGCCTCCCCCCTCCTCTCTAACCGCCCGTACCTTTATTCACCGTACTGCAACGCATTCCACTGCGTCGTCAGGGATGAAGAGCACCTCGAAACTTTGTTCTTCATAATCGTCAATTTCCGAATCGTCTGATTGTTCATTATCTTCTTGGTCTTCGGAACTGCTAGATTGCTGCTCATCCGGGTTTTCTTTACCTTGAGCTTCCTCAGCACCTAGAACACGAGCTACGAGTGCTGCTTTTCCTCCGCTGACGGGTAAACCGTGCTCCTTTAGTTAGAGTTTCAGTTTACTTGCAGACAGCGAGTTGACTTCAACCTCGTCGGACCAATTTATGTCTGGAAGTTTGTTCCTTTCCGTTGCCCGTTTTTTTGCTTTCATTGCAAGGAATTTTTGGTTCTCTATGAAGTGATGACAACTATGAAACAGAAGCATGTGGCATTCCTCAGCTAGAAACTGTAGACCTAGAAACCCTCTCGCTGTTTAAATCAAGAACAGACCTGGCATGTCTGCGGGACCTCTTAAATGCCAAATGTTTTATTGGCAAAGCTCACAACGTGGTTTGTGTTGATGCAATATTTAGACATTATGGATAGTCAAAGGAGTGGCATCTGTCTATTTGGAAAATGTTTATTTATTCATTATCGAATTTGTGAAATTTAATTAAGACCCCCCTCAACTTACTTGAGCAATCTAATGTAGCCCCCCCCTCCTTTCCATTATTTTAACTTAAGCCCCGCCCCCCCTCTGGTTTTAGGGCCCCCCTCCTGATAATTATTGCACAGTCCCTAATCACAGAATTGTTCTGAAGTATAGCCCGGTGCCAGGCGTTCAGATTGTGCGTACGGCGCAAAAAGGTTCGTACCGCACTACATTATCTGAACTCCTGGAACGGGCTATCTGAAGGAAGGTAGTAGAGTCATTAGATATCAGCAAGAGGTTGCAGAACTATTGAATTATTTCTTTTCAAATTGTACTTTAAATAACCAGGTTTTAGTGAACATCCACCTGATCTCTCGTGCATATTACACAATCTGATGGGTAGAGAGGAACTAGGAGAAATATCTATGAAGCCTTATAGTTCAGTTATTGCTCGGATTCGTGGCATTTCTTCAGTACGTAGGCAGCTGATAAATAAGAGAAGGTTAGGATATCTATAGGAAATTCAGAGACGACATTTATGTACATTGTTAGCTAGGTTTTCTTTTCTTTTCGTTTTCTTTAAACCCAACTGCAAGTAATTCGAAGAAGGGAGGAATGAAGTATATGTAAGTATTTAGGTCTACCTCCCCACCCCCTATGTTTGTATTATCGAGCATGTGCTCTGACTGTTATGATGATTGAATACACAGGTGTGCACGAGCAGCAATGGTGTGTGTGTTGGTGGTTAAATACGTAAGACACTACAGCTACGTTCTCCTGCTGCTCCTTCTAGTCACCATAGTGTAAACAACGATATCAACACACTATAAGAAACAATTCTGGGAAATAAACGTGTGTTCAGCGAAGCTACGATCTGTACAAGCACATGACCAAAAGCTGAATAGAACGCATGACCGAGAAAGAAACTAATGCCAGCCGTCCCTCCCTTCGCTAGAAATAAATACAAACAAATGCAATTATTTTAGACGTTAAAAAAAAATCCGGTAAAAGAGGCAATCCTTACTGTATTACTGAGAAAGTGGAGGCAGCCACATCAAATACATTTTTAAGAAGGTTTTCACAAAGTTGCATTCTTAAAGGGTATGCATACAGCCGGTTGTAACAAAGCAAACATCTTGAAAATAGTAAGACAAGCCTTGAAATATGCAATAGCGGTACAGCAGGCGATAAGCATTGTTGTTTAGTTTATATTAACTATAACCATTAGCATTATTTATGATATCAATGGACAAGTTCATATGTTAAAGGCCAGAAACTCTGCACCAGTTTGAATCACTTCTAGGTAATAAAGAGCTATCGCACAACGCCATGACGCAATCATTGTTGAAGTTTAACAAAAAGCAAAAGTATTTTTCAGGTCATTATTGAGCACCACTACTCTTGTTATAGTTCTTATAGTTCTTAATCATCAAGGCTGTCATAAAAACTAAAGTAGTGAATAACAATATGACGCGCGATTTCTATCCACTTTTACTAAAAGCACTAATCACTGATGCTTCTGCTGCTACTTCCAGAAATATTCATATCTGAAACAAAAATAGAAGAAAAAAAGACAATAATTTAACTTAGCAAGTGACAGTTATTACTTCCTCAAGGTTATACGGGCAAACTAGTCGGTTCACGATTTGGGAAAATTGTAAAATCAGGGAGTCTAAGCAACTCTTACGTCGCGGGCGTCATGAATGACAACCAGTTGTTTGTCTTCAGGTCGCTCTATGAAACACTTCTACATGACATAACAAGTTTGAAAGTTTTTGTTTTAGTTACTGTAGTATGACGTTATCGAGTCAAACAATTAAAAAAAAAAGAAAGACTTATGGTTGTTACTTTTGACGTACGGGATGTCACCTTTGTCGTTACCTAAGCTCGGCTAGGACTAGTAACTTTCAACGGTTTGGCAAACGCGTTTAGCATTTGTACAAATCAGTCCGATTTATGGAAAAGCAGCTACAAACTATCCTGAAACTGGTATCAATGGTGGCGTCGCGAAATGTCGGGGTTTTTTTTCCTAAGCCGTGCAAACACTTGCCAAAAGCATAACAAGAAGGGCGAAAGACAAGGTCTGATAACACAGGGGAAGAAAAAACAATACAGGGAACCCAACCGCTACACAGAAGTTCCTTTTGTTTCGAAAACGTTTCACTGACATCACCCGTTTTCCGTTTACTTTCCAACCGGATATAGTACTTGAAAACATTTGCAAATGATGAAAAATTATGGACGTGAAATCAGGGTATTGCTATAGTTCTTAACCTACAAGAGTGACATTTGAAATGTTCGTTGAGATAACTATGCAAACCAAAGACTATCATTACGATGTAAACCTTTTAGCAATTTTAAACCTGTGTTACAGACGAAATTTAAGCCTTGTACTAACATTGAATTATATCATTAACATAAGTTACCCGAATCCAAGTGTTCCAAATGATGAATGTTACCAGTATTGCATAACCGTCCTCAGGAAATGGCATTCACAAATAACAATAATATTATATATATATTAAACAACATTTCCAACTTACCTGGGAAGGGTTTGTCCTTAAGGTGGTGGAGGGTGGTGATCTCCATGGGGATGAGGCCCTTGGTGTGGTGGATGGTGTGGAGGCCCATGCGGTGGAGGCCCATGATGTGGAGGTCCATGGTGTGGGGGACCATGGTGTGGTGGATGGTGTGGAGGCCCATGCGGTGGAGGCTGCGGTGGAGGCCCATGGTGTGGAGGTCCATGGTGTGGGGGTCCATGGGGTGGCGGTCCATGAGGTGGAGGCCCACTCATCCTAGAATTTGCGCTAACGTAAATAACAAGACTTAAAGCGCGTGTAGTTTGTTAGAAAATAAGACTTGGCCAAAAGAGGCGTGAAAATAATTTTACTTAATTTCTACTTTAAAATTAACTTACTTGGATTATTGTTTTTGTTCATGTTGTTGTGGAACAAATTTCATTTTCAAAGTAATTAAGTCATGAAAGATTCAAGTTTAAGCTCAAATAATATATAGAAATTTGTTACATGCTTAAGTTACAATAATAATAGGTTTAATGAAGTTATGTATATATGATAATCATATATGAGAACAAGAACTGTATTAAAGAAAATCATCGCAGTTATAGACGCAACTTTTGTAGTTGTGAAAAGAAAGTCTGAAAAAGTTCAGGCTTGTACGGGATTCGAACCCTTGACCTCTGCGATACCGGTGCAGCGCTCTACCAATTGAGCTAACAAGCCAATTGGGAGCAGGTCGTTGAATTGGTTCATATTAAACCTGGTGAATTGGTTCGTATTAAACCTGGTGAATTGGTTGGTATTAAACCTGGTGAATTGGTTGGTATTAAACCTTGAAAGGAATATGATGATCATCATTATCATCCTTCAACGGGTTTAATATACCAACCAATTCAACGACCTGCTCCGAGCTGGCTTGTTAACTCAATTGGTAGAGCGCTGCAGCGGTATCACAGAGGTCGAGCGTTCGAATCCCGTACAAGCCTGAATTTTTTCAGACTTTCGTCTATTATAACTGCGATGATGTTCTTTCATGTAATAGTAAGTTTAATATCAAGTACATTAAAGTTAAGAAATGTTTCGTTTTTATTGTTTGCGTGTAGAAAAACGAAATGAGATCAAGATATTGTCATTTCCTGAAACCAGGGTCTGAGCAACAAGTTTTCATTTGGATGTGAAGGTTCGGTGGGAGCCAAATGGCGAACCAGTAGTCTAATGCATTATCTTAAAGTGGGTTTAACAGATATAACAAATATATTTTTGACTAATATAAACTTGGACTGCGGACTGCGGAACACGAATTGGACATAATAAGCGGGCTGAGACTCTGAGTACAACAACAACAATTATATTAAGAAGCAAAGAAATACAGTAAACATACCGTGCTTCGAAAACGGGGTCAAATTGAGAGTAAAACAACCAAGTGGAGGTGGTTGGTTTAGGATTTAGATTGATATATTTGCTAAGCATTTGTTAAGAGTAACTAAATGAAACGAACAAATGTGTTTACATAATAAGAGAACTTAGAAAAAAGCTAAGACGAAATCGATCATCTTTTTAAAGGCTCGTTCTTCCTAGAAGAGTGTATGGTCTCCCTGTTTATGGCTCATGCTAAGCAAATTTAAATACAGTACAATGCTTCCTGAAAAGATGTTTCAAGAGGCGCTACTCCTCAAAAATATATAATATCCACTTCCCTGCTAGCAGAGGTCTCATCCACGAGCTCTTAGCTGGCTCTTGGACAAATGTGATAGGAAACTCTTCAAGAAAATTACAAGCGACAGTTCTCACCCATTGTACCCTATGTTGCCCCAAGCCAAAGGGTCCTCCCTTAGATTAAAACAAAGATCTAGTCAGTTACCTAGGATAAACACTGAACGTTTTAAAAGTAGCTTTTTAAATAGGCTTAGTTTCAAATACAGTTGAACACTATGAGAAATTCTTACTGTAAGCTCCTTATTTAATCCTTTTTAAAATTTGTGTACCGTTTGATATGTATTGTATCAAAAAAAGAAAGACATAATAATAATAATTATTATTATTATGTTTACAATTATTATTATTATTATTATTATTATTATTATTATCATTATTGATCAGCAGGAGAGTAGGTACAACTCCAAAACGGCCCCGAATTGTCTCCAGAAGCTAAAATCAGTGGCAGACACAACCTCGCTCTATTTTGGGCTTCTTTCATTTTTTCTTTTTTTGTCTGCCATCTCTTTTCATTTCATTACTTAAACACATATGCGTAAGATTGGAACCATTTTTGGAGCTCACACTGTGCCACTTAAGGTCATGTGACCAGCCACGCCCATAATTATGCAAAATTAAATATTTTCAGATTACGCCATGAAAATGACTATTGAAGCTTCCGTTTATTTTTCCATAGTGTTAAGTTTAAAGTCAAATGAGTGAAATTAAACGGGGATTTGCAAAATATTTTATTCCTATGTAATTATCAAATGTTTTCTCCTCGACCCAGTCCCACTCTCAACTGGAAACGTTATAGTTCACTCAAAACAAATAATTTCGAAAAACCCCGATTAATTCCATAAACCTTGTGTTAATAGTCATTGAAAGAAAACAAAATAAATCACAACTAGTATTTGTAAAATGTTGTAAAATTGGACCAAACTAAATAAGAAAAAATCGGCGTGACAAGTCACGTGACTAAAATAGCTAATTAGTGACAACGGATGAGAACATTTTAAAAAAGTATTTACCGCATGCAAAGTTTCAAGTCGAAAAGTTAAATCTCCTTTAAACTAGACCACCCCCTCACAAATTTCTAGAGACCTATTCCTTAATTCACCCTAGTCGATCGATCGCCAAACATCATTTGGACCATAATCTGCTTCTTCAAGAAAATCAAATTTCAGCGGCCTGGGAACCTGCTAGATTTCCGCCGATGCTATCACCTCACTCAAGCACTTAAAGAACAGTGGAATGTTTTGGCGGTTTACCACTCGGTTAAAAGAACAGATAAACCGCATAACTGAGCTTCACGACTTCTTATTTTTTAATTTTCTAGTGATCTTAAAATATTGCTTATATATTACTCGAGTAGACTGTTCCACTGAGTCTTCCATAAGCCCAAGCATGAGAGCTTACTTGTTGGCCTTGCCTCATACGGCAGTAGTCTAGGTCAGATAACTAAGCGAGATTTATTCAAAATGGCGCCCTCTCAGCATGTGGGAGGGTCAATACCGGTTTTTCAGGACAAACCGGTTTTGGGAGGACAGGAACTGGGCCACTTTTATTACTGAGCTGAGAATGATGATAAAAAGCATAACCGTTTTATCGAAATAGAATATATAGTACATTTGAAAGGATCAGAATAGCAACACGAAAAATCCTTTCAATTAGCTTTATAAAAAGTGTGTTACGTCTCTCCATAAATCGGCTGGTTGACCACACAGGAGAGACGTAACACACATTTTAAGTAAGGTAAGCTGTTTTTTATTGAAATCCTTTCACTTTCGTAGGTTCGGAAACGATAGGTTTTTTTCCCCATACAAATCCTTATATTTTGAATGCTACGCAACAATGCCGATGCTCACCGATGCTTATATTTCGAGCTTGGGCTACCTGTGATTAACGCCTCTGAAAAGACACCTCAGGTAAAACGTGGGTCCATTTAAAAGTCAAAGTCATCAGTTCTCAACATTAACGATTGATCCTTGTTAAGTTATTGGTTTTTATAATAATACGTCAAAGTTCTCCCTGGGGGTTTTTACTGCAGAGCTGAACTAATTTGTATGCAGCGGTGGGCTTGTTAACTCGCATAATTAACTGACTACTGGCACGTGAAACGCTTAGGGCCTGTTTACATGGAGTGGGGGACCCCGGTCTAGTGGGGTTGTTTTCTTTTGTTTTCACGCTCTGGGGGACACAAAACAAAAGAAACCTACCCCACTAGACCGGGGTCCCCCACTCCATGTAAACAGGGTCTTAGACTTTAATAGTTTTCATTTCCTCGAGACAGAAAGCAGAAAGCGGTTTTGTAATAGTCAGACAGAATTGAAATGGAGAGTTTTAGGCTCCACTTTGTGTATGTGTGTGTGTTTTGTTTATATATCTAAGTTTTAGCGCTAAACAATAAGAAGACATAAGCTAAATTGAAATAGAGAGTTTTCAGCTCCACTTTCTGTATGTAGTTTGTTTATATATCCGATTTTGAGCACTAAAAAAGATATAGTAAGCCGTTTCTCGCGTTGCTAAGTAATCGCTCCGGCTGTTAGTTCCGATAGCCGAGCATACGCCATTGGGATCTATTCATCGGGAATTAAAATACACTGGATCAAAAGTTCCCATTCTAGGGTCTGGGAACAAGCGTCCAAAAGAGCTTGAAGCTCATCAGCGTTGGTAATAAAACCCATGGTGATAAAAAGTTATTAAACGTTTTCTCAAACACACGAACTCGAACAAATTGCTTCCTAACAAAGCGATTGCAAGAACGATAGCGCTTTCGAAATCTACCCGCTTTTATTTTGAACAAATCATATGTCTTACAAGAGCCAATCAAGGTTAAAAGAGACCGGGCAAGTCTATTGTGCCTATTGTAGTAGAGAAACGCTCATTACAAATGGAAGAGGGCACTTAATTAGTTTGGAGGAACATATTTTTACCCAGCTAGCTAGACACTGACAAGGCACATAATTAATATGCAGAAGGGAACTAAATTTGTATGCAGGAAGACCCTTACTCATATTAATATGAGAAGGGAAGGCATACGGAAGGCAGGGGAAGGTAACAAACAGGAGTAAAATAACCCTATATCACTACTATCATAATTATGATTATTTTTCCTTTTAAAATTTCTTAACTATGGTAAAGTGGTAAATTTTTCAAAATTAAGTCTTCTTTTTCCTAACTTCTTGTTCATTGTCTAAAACAGCTTATTATTCATTCAAGTGACCGATCCCGTGGCCATGAATTTTATACTTAAAACCCTTTAAAACTTACCTGCCCGTTGTTAGAAGAATTTCTAGCTTTACAGACTGTCTTAAACGAAGCAACTTGCTATAAATGACCCCTCTGGATTATGGCCGCTCTCCAGGAACCAAATTTTCAGATGTTACCATTTAAGGGGAACTCCGCCCCTCTGAGCATATTCCTTGATATAATTGACAGAATGGCTAGCGGATGCTTCTGCTTAAAGTTAATTTATTAGGAAAGACTGTATTACATACGAAATCGGCCAAAATT